CGAGTTTGTTCCTCAGCTGAAATGAAGCAGGTTGTGGTGATAATTTACGGTGGTTCGTCGATTTCCCGTGCGGGAGCGGAAATTTACTCGCTTCACCTAAATTGCACGACTTCCGTTTCTCTCTGAAGTGAAACAAATTAGTAAATACTGCTGGTGGAGGAGTGCTTGATTGCAAGCCCCGCTGCTCTCCGCTAGAGAGGTAAAAGTGGTGACGAGTCCGAAGCTTTGATTCGCCTGTGCGGACCCAGCAAATTCCCTTTTGTGCCTGTGCAATTTCAGACGGGACACTTGATCATTTGAAATCGAGTTCTCGTGTCCAGTCGGTTGGGGGTTTATCCGCGCAGCGCAAATAACGAAACACCCAGTAGAGCTCAATCATTTTAGGTAAAAGCACAGCCTCGATTTCTTGTTCTGTGAAGCGAACTTGCAAGCTCCCGATCGAAAGTAGTGTATTACTCTGAGAACGCAATCGGTTATTTTGAGAGCTAAACTGCTTGGCCTGCTGCTGTCGTTATGCGGCGGTGCGCGATTGTAACCGTCCCGCACTGGCAACTTTGCACTTTGCGAACTATATAGTTCTTTTCGCCCTTTAACAAGTGGTATACAGAAGAGCTGGAAAACTCTAGGGGAGCTAGATATGCTATGGAGAACTCCCCCGAGAGATCCTGTATGTGCATCTATTCGACTCTTTTATCCTAGAGCGATGCCGTAAAGTTGAGGACATCTATTTGAAAAGGTTCAACGGTCTAAAGAGAAGGCCACGCAAAGGCCTGAGCAGCTGCAGTGGCTGCGAGCCAAAATTCAGATCGCTAAGAGACACTTTGTACTCCTGTGTATCCCTTTAAATCGATTTTAGGGGTTCAAAGAAATATATCCTCACTGCGGCTCCTCGTCGTGCAGGCACTGGGGAAACTGTGTTTCTCTTCACTTACCCATCACAGACAAGGTTTACGAAGAGCGCAAGGGACTTCCCTTGCTGGCGCCGCCTAGAGAACGCTGAAAGAAGTGAGCAAAAGTAAAGCGATAGCAAGGAGAGCAGACTTGGTAGAGGCAGAAGCGGAGTTTTCTATGGCTTCCTTTATGTTCGCCCAAACATCCTCACTGCGAAGAAGGCACCACATCCCAGAGACGTCAAAAACGCGTTAAAAAAGCCAAATTATCTCACGCTTCGGCATGAACATCAGACAAACCCAAACTGAAGCCCTCTGCAACTAATAAAGAAGGTTATGCAGACATGTAGAACAAACAAGGCTGCCTAACATTGCCTTGATGGAAGCATGTTCTTGCATGGCAAAAGAAAGAAAAAGTATCAAGGCTAAAATGGCAGGCGTGGAATAGTGCCGCACACAACAGGCGAAAACAACGCAAACAAAACGGCACTAAGCAACACCTTGAAGACGCAAGGGGCACAGGCGGACGACAAATGAAAATGCGCCAACAACACGAATACAACAAACAACACACAGATGGAACCACAGTAGCGGAAGAATACATCATATGCCACACAAGCTCAATACAGCTCGG